CGAGCCGTAAATTCTATGCTAACAATTTTTCTTGCACTTCTCGCTTGTGGAACACCATTCCGGCTTCATGCTTTCCAGATAACTTTAATCTACAAAAATGTAAATGCAAAGTCAATCGCTATCTTCTTTCAATTTCCACTACCTAGTAATGTTTCTGGTACAATTTGCAAATAAAAATATTTAAAAACAAATTGGTATCTGGGGAATTTTTTTTTTTTTTAAGGCCGAACAAAAAATCGCCCAGTTTCGTAATTTCTAGTCTAGAGAGAGGGAGAGAGAGAGAGAGAGAAGACAATTGAGTAAAATAAGAAAAAACGTTAAGTGCGTAATACACTAAGTAGAGCAGAGTATAAAAACCCGAGCGAGCCAGAAATTACCTACCTAAATGGATCTTCAGGGTAAGCTGGCCTACCCTGAAGGTCCATTTAGGTGGAGCCTAGGTGGCTAGTTTCTCGATCCCTAGGATTATATATATTATTTACATTATTTGGACTATTGTCCTCATCTTTGTCGCCATATTTATTACAAAGTTTCGGCCGTTGTACGCTCCGGTCTTCTTTAGGTGGTTGAAATGTCGAACTGAACCCTTTATTTCGCTCACTGGAGTAGACTGTTCTAGTTCCACCTGCCATGTTTAATGGATGTCAGTTATATGTTATCTCCTGTTAATTTCCCTCTCTCTCTTCCACTGCCCTAACCGGGTATTGAACTCACACTATTTGGGTCCTGTCACTGGATCTAACCAACGCCTTTATTCTCGAGAACACATGGCACAGTGGATAAAGGCGTTGGTTAGATCCAGAGTGATTAATTACTGCGATTAAGCTTTTTATTTACTTTTTCTTATGTGCGAAAAAGCTTGTCCTTTCTGGACAGCGTGCAAAAATATCCGTGCGCTTTTGACAATTCTTTTACTCATCATCGAAGATGTATTTGTATTTTCAAATAATTTTTATGGATGTTTCTAGAGTTATAAAAATATTTTATTTTTCCAAACACGGTCAGCACATTGTGACCGTGTTCATAGTTCATGTTATTGAATGTCGTATTTTTCTTTTATATAATCAATGTTTTTTGCCTTTTTCCTACATATAGGTTGCTGGTGAAATATAAAAGTGAAAGTTGGTTATAATTATTCATTGGGAGGAATGTTAAATTTTTAGATTTTGAGCGTCCGATGTCCCAAGATGGAACAACAATTTATTTTAGTTTTCAAACGCATTTTTAGATTCGTTATTATCGGTGGTGAAATCGACGATTTCTTCAGAAAGAAAAATTCAGTGTTGCAGGAACCAGGACATAAAAATTCATTGGAAAACTCGAAAATCATTTCCCGGTCTATACATTTTCGCCTTAGTAAAACATTTGCGGGGCAAATATGTAAAAATCGCAATGAAGGGTTGTACATTTTCCATGTTCAATTAATCAACACAGTTATTATTTGTATATCATATTCTTCCGTTGATATATATATATATATATCCATATCCATAAAATGAGAACGAATAGAATCCAATTCCGACGTTCGTAACATTCAATTTAAAAGAGCGCTCAATAAAAAAATCGAGCAATATTTTTTATTTTCGGATATTACGTCAAAACACGTAACAAAAGCAACACAAATGCAATATAAGTATATAAAGAGTATATGTATGAAATGTGTGTGTGTGTGTGTATATATATATATATATATATATATATGTATATATATATATATATATATATATATATATATAGGCAAGTTAAATTGAATATGACAGACAACGTGCTCCGATTTAGTTTTTTATATACTATCTCTCATGTGATATATTTTTTTCTTTTCGGTAGATAAATTACATAAAAACAATTTAACAGTTTTTATATATAAAAAAAAATCAAAGCACCTTGTCTGTCATATTCAAGGAAACGTGCATGAAAGAAGGATTGCTGCTGAAATACACAAATGAAATGAATATATATATATATATATATATATATATATATATATATATATATATATATATATATATATATTATATATATATATATATATATATATATAAATACAGATTTTCATATATATAGAGAGAGAGAGAGAGAGATTATCATATATATATAGATTTTAACATAAATATATATATATATATTCATATATATATATATATATATATATATATATATATATATACACATTTTACATATATATATATATATACATTTTCATATATATATATTTTATATATATATATACATTTATACATATCTATATATATATTTCATATATATATATACATTTTCATATATATATATATATATATATATATATACATTTTCATATGTATATATATATACATTTTATATATATATATACATTTCATATATATATATATATATATATATATATATATTTTATATATATATATATATACACATTTTTATATATATATATGTATACATTTTCATATATTTATATATATAGGATTTCATATATATATAAATATATATATATATACACGTACACACATGTGTGTGTATATATATATATGTGTCTGTGTATGTTGACTTTTTTATATATTTTGTGAATTCACTTTTTTGTGTGTTTAAATTGAACGCCGAGGTCAACATGAATGGCGACAGTCTGCTACATCTCTTCTGCGAAATTTTCTGTGTTGAAGATCAATTTCATAAATGAAGCTGTTTGTCGCTACTCGCTGTTGATCCATATGCTCATTTTTATATCTACACTTTTAATATATGTTATTGAGCACTTGCACCCATAAATATACGTTACCTTCCAAATTTATATATATATATATATATATATATATATATATATATATGTATATATATGATAAAAGTATAGGTTAAAACAAATACTTATATGTGGTGTTTGTGCTTATATGTGTATTTTTGTCATTGTAAGTATGTATGTAGAAAGCATGCTATCAACAAAGTGTGTTTGTAACAGAGTGAAGATGCGTTTGTGCAGTTTAACGGTGTGACATCATTCAGATTCATACGAATATGTTACCTTTCACTACGACTTGAAGTTCCACACATGAATAGGTCGCCATTGTTGTTGTTGTTTGCAATGAAAAACTTCTTGTGATGATGCTTTCGTCTTACTGTCTTCAAAGAGAATGGAAACATTCAAATAGAAACACCGAACAACAATATCTTTTAATATTAGAAAAAATAAACAAATAACAATCAGAACGTCTTAATTTCCAGCTGTGAGTCCCAATAGGATGATGTAATCAAAGACAAAAATATTTATGAATTGTGAATTGAACATTTTAGAACTGCATGTGTTAGCAACTGGAAATGCCAAAGAACAAGAATACAGTATCTTTCAGAATGTAAACTAGAAGATGTAGTATTAAACATAGATTTAAAAAATAGTTACTTGTATGTGGTTATTAGATAGACAATTAATGTCATTGGTAATGGCTCTAAACCTATTACAAATGCTGGTCAAGGTCATTCCCACTCGAATAAATACGCTTCGGTAAGTTATGGCTGCATCCAGCTATGGATTAAATAGCAGTACAGAGGACATTCTCGAGCCGTGGTTGCCAACCATAAGAGGAGAAAGATAACACTGAATTCAAGATCGTACTTTAGGAATATACTTTTAGGTTGTAATTAAGGCCCGATCAGCGGAGGTAACTATAAATTGGCCTTGTGTGTGTTGAAGAAACACAAATGGGTTTGAACCGAAGAATATGTATGGAAACGTGCAGTGATGCCGATGATGAGAAATGACATTTTGCAGATTCCCTTCAAGTCAAAGTGGCTCTGATTGGGATCAGACATCATGATCAAGAATCTACGTAATCTTCACTTTTGTCTTGTTTCTTTACTAGTTATACTTATTTATAGTTCCTTGTCATTGTTTCGGGTTTGCAGATGGCGAAATGCTTAGAGACTAGGAACAAAAAATCGGTACGCTGAATTCGAATTCCGGTCGAGACGAGACGTGACATTCACTTTCACACAATACTCTTCGGAAATGTATGATTCCATTCTTTTCCCTCTCATCTATGGGTTAAATAGAAGAATTAACCAGATTCTCTAATCATGGTTGGTAACCCTTATAAGAGATCAACTCTGAATTCAAAACATCGTATGGCACTGGTGGCATGTACTTAAACAGTATCTTGTACAGTGAAGTATAGTTGCCATATGAACACAGGTTGGCTCGTGGGAGTTCTAAAAAAATCACAATTAGGTTAAAGCAGATAGGCATCCTTGGGAAGAATCAGCCATTTTAAATATGGTAAATCAAACTGCATTCATGATATGTCTAGTTATTCTCACAGGGATTTATTTGCTAGTTTACGAGACAAATAATTACACATGGTCGCTTTTAGTGTCAGAAAATGGGAAAAGAACAAGAAAATTTTATTGTGTCAAGGAAAACAAGACTGAAATGTTATGCAATATCAGTTCTCGTAGAGATGAAGAAAAGACTTGAAGCAACATGAATGTGGTTCTACAGACCCATGCCGAGGAAAACATGGACCAAACATGTGAGTTTTAGAGAAAATATACACAAAAAGTGAACAGGAAAATTTCTAAGGCACAGGAAGAAAAAAGCCTTGAAACATATGATACTCACAGAGAGAGAGAGAGAGAGAGAGAGAGAGAGAGAGAGAGAGAGAGAGAGAGAGAGCACAAAAAATCATACCGTAGGAGGAGGAAGAGAGGTAAACGTGAACGGAAGGAGGCAGAGGAAAGAAATAGGTGAGTGAAATGGGAGAAAAATTAAGGAAGATGAGGGGGAAAAAGAGAGGGTAAAGTGGACAGAGAAAGCAAGGCAGATGAGAAACCGAAAAGGTGAAGAGGAGGAGGAAAGAAATAGAGAAGGTGAGAAGGAGGGTAAGAAAATGAGGGAGGGGATTTGAACCTAAATCTGGGGGTACGTTGATGTTCCACTATGTAATTGAATATTTTCTCATCTTAACTATATTTTCATCTTGATTGTCTTCCGAAACTTAAGTGGCTGTTTTTCGGCTGAAACGTTTATATTACTGGCTTTTCGATAAAAATAACAAACTCAAAGTCATTCTGCTTTGATATTAAGCAATAATCCAAACCATAAAAAAACTTTTTATCAGATTTATTCGAAAGGAAATTATATCAACTCAATGGCCATAATTCATTGTCAATTATGATCGTAATATTCTAATACGTTTTTTTTTCGGTGGACACGACCATAACAATATAAGTTGCAAAGATGACATAGTGTTAAAGGCAGACACAGTCAGTATAGATGATCACGTAGACATAGTAGTAAAGCGGACCGAGAAGAAAAGAATAACACTATTCTAAGAAGGGAGCTTTTTAGCAACGGGAAGAATTCAAAATCTGAGCTACGAATTGAGGACATCGAATTCAAGCAATTACAGAAATTTAAGTGTTTGAAGTGATGGAAAATGTGATACCGAAATCCGAAGCTGCGATGGAAGAGCGTAAGATGCCTTCCAAAAGCTAAGTATAGTATTGAGAAGCAGGGAAAATTTGTTAGAAACATACGATTGTTGAACAGCTATGTAACATCAATCCGCCTATTTGGTAGAGAAATGTTGGATACATCCATCATGGATGAAGAGAAGACGATGAAACAGAGAGTTTGTTCGCTATAAGGATGTTGAGAATATTATGGACGTAACATGTGAGTAATGTTATATATATATATATATATTTCTGTGTGTTGTGTATATATATATATATATATATATATATATATATATATATATGTGTGTGTTGTGTGTATATATATATATATATTTATATATATATGCGTGTTGTATATATATATATGTATATATATATATGTGTATATACATATCTATAGATATGTGTATATGTGTGTGTGTCTGTGTGCATATGTACATATTCATTTATATATATATATATATAAATATATATATATATATATCAATTGAAAAATTTTCTCATTGTATTTGAATTATTATTCTTCCATTGACAAGGCCTACATTTTTAAAAAAACGGAACTTTTAAAGTCCTCAATATTTACAATATCATAGAGCGTAAATAGTTGAAAATTTATATATATATATATATATATATATATATATATATATATATATATATATATATATATACTTGTGTGTGTTTGTTTTCTGTCTATATACAGGATATGATGGGCAAATTTATGTTTTTAATTTTGCGTTTTTTTTTTTGATTTTGCTTGGCATTCACGCCAGAAGCTCCAATACGAAAAGTTCAGTGTGTTTTGGTATCAATTTGAGTGCAGAGGGTTCGAAAAGTGCTGCACGAGTCTAATGGTGATTACAAAGGTGCAGTAGCTCCGGAAAAACACACTGATCGTTCTGAAAAGGACTCCCGAATTTGCTGGTGAGGGCCTCCAACTCAACGCGGAGGACTGAGGAGGTAGTGATGCCCTGGGTCAAGAGGGTGGGAGCTGGAAGATCCTATGTCTGGCAACAGGATTATGCACCATCACGCCTTACATCTGGTCATCTAACTTCCCAGATTTTTCAACCTCTTTGTGTTGGGCGCACTTGAGATAGAGATCTGCAACTTCCTAGTAAAATCAATCTAGGAAAGTCCAAAGTCGTCTGTGGGCCGTCGTTGATTCCAATGTCGACTTTTATTAAATAATTTTAATCTTTCTTACTTCAACCTATTCTTGTGTAATTCCGGTAAATATCTATGTCATGAGATATCAGTTTTTTTTTTTTTCGTAGTTGAAACGATAAATTATCCATTGCTCCTTATATATTATATTGTATTAAGGTATCAAGCCCTGTTTCATCCTCAAGCGAAAATTTAGGATTCCTAAACAGCAAGTGGAATTGGTTTAATTATGCTAAGGATCCTGAAAAATGATCGGTTCCGTCTCCCGCTCCTTTTGCTATAATCTGTCTTTATAGGAGCTGGATGAGACCGAAAATGGAGTATTGCTTCTATATCTGGACTGGGGCTGCCATGTCTTCATTCTTCAGTCTTAACAGTAGCCAAAAAGGTTTACGCGCTATTGAGGGTAACATTTCTAATCCTACAATACTTTTCCCACTGACGAGACGCTGCTAGCCTCTCGATAATCTAGCACTATTTTATATCAACTGCACAGATTGTCGATATTCCTTGGTGTCACCAGTTCTACCATTCTCAGCTATGACCGATCATGCCGAATACACAGGTTGGAATCATTTTCATCTCTTCGTAATCCATAGGTAAGGACAAGGTTGGAGTAAGACTGCTTTTACCAAGCACTGTGACTTTACGAAACAGACACACGAGAGGGTGCTCACTACGCTTTTAATCTGTTGACCGTTGCCTATAGTACATATCCTTATGACATGTACTTATTGATTGGGTGACCAATAGTACGGAAAGCATACAAGAAAAATTCTATAAAAATCACATTAACAGAAACATCTCGCTATTAGAGAGGCTTTTTTATATCAAACATCTCTCTCCTGCTATCAACCTCACTTTATTTAACAGTAGAAATGGAGAGTTAAAAACGTTTTAAAATTAGAAAGATGCTCACGTGAATTCCTAGCCCACACTCAACACACGAAGGCTCGGAATAAACGCTCCTATTCAAAACACAATAAAATATAACTTAAACAGTAAAACAAACAAAACAAACAAACAAAAATAAAACAAACACCATCAAAAACAAACCCCACCTTGGAAATGGCTAAAAAGTGGCCGAATGCGCTTGGGACAATGAAAATTATTGAAGATTTCTGTACCTCTTACAAAACGGAAAAAACACGTAAGGATACTGGACATAACTAAATAAAAAAATTAAATCTTCCTAATCTGACGTATTTAATGAAATATGTTTAAAAGAAAGGTTGCTGCCTATATATAATATACAAATAATTGCATCAAGTCATAGTAATTTCTTTGTCATCGACCAACGTATTTCAATGCACCGAGGTGATTTTAGTAGAGCCGTGTTATTATCAGTTTAATTTGTTCCAGTGAATTGATTGAGACTATAAAACTGAACGGATAAAGTGGAGCTTCTTCGCTTTCCATATACCAAAATAGGAGGCAGTTAAAAAAAAATATAATTGCATTACATGCGGAAAAGTTATTAAAAACAATAACAAAACCAATCCACCTATATTCAATTAACACCGACTAATAATTGTTTTGCATTGAGCACATTGTTATCTGACTTTCATTGCCTGAAGACAAAAATGACACTGCAGAGTTTATTTAAGTGTGAATTGATTGTACAGAAAATGGCGCGACTAATATAATTAGATACAGTAGAAAGAAAAGAAGGCGGAAAAGGAGAAGACGAATGGCTGATTAGTAGAGAGAGAGAGAGAGAAAGGAAATGAGTATAAAAAAGGAAGAGGAAGAGAGGCCAAACAGAGAGGCACAAGAGTGGGAAGGAGAGAAAAAGAGAAGGAAAGCGTAGAAGAAAATAGCAAAGAAAATAGTAGTAAGAAATGAAAGAAGGAAAGAGAATGAAAAGAATATGAAAGCAAACAGAATGAAAGAAAACAATAGGGAGAGAAAAGAGAAAGATCACCACGTAAGAAGGAGGGTGAAAAAGCGAGAAGTGAAACAAACAAAAACTTAGAGAGAGAGAGAGAGAGAGAGAGAGAGAGAGAGAGAGAGAGAGAGAGAGAGAGGTTGTTAGTGGATACACATGAGAGAGAGATAATTAACATAGAGAAAACTGGAGAGAGAAATAGACAGAGAGAGAAATTTGACCCCGACAGAAAACACGGATAAAGAGACTCAACAACCAGAAAACCTGGAGAGAGAAAAAAAAATAACAAAGTTTGAGAGAGAAATGAATGCAAAGTTTACGGGGAGAGAAAGAGAGAAAAAAGCAAAGTTTACGGAGAGAGAGAGAGAGAAAGAGAGAGAGAGAGAAGCAAAGTTTGGAAAGAGAGAGAAAAAGAGCAAAAAGCAGAACTTGAAAGAGAGCAAAAAGCAAAGCTTGAGAGAGAGAGAGAGAGAGAGAGAGAGAGAGAGCAAAGAGCAAAGCTTGAAAAAGGGAGAGAGAGAGCAAAAAGCAAAGCTTGAGAGAGAGAGAGAGATCAAGAGCAAAGCCTGGGGGAGAGAGAGAGCAAAAAGTAAAGCTTGGGAGAGACAGAGAGAGAGGGGGAGACAGGGAGAGAGAGAGAAAAAAAGCAATGCTTGGGAGAGAGAGAGAGAGAGCAAAAAGCAAAGCTTGGAGGAGAGAGAGAGAGAGCAAAAAGCAAAGCTTGGGGGAGAGAGAGCAAAAAGCAAAGCTTGGGGGAGAGAGAGCAAAAAGTAAAGCTTGGGGGAGAGAGAGAGAGCAAAACGTAAAGCTTGGGGGAGAGAGAGAGAGCAAAACGTAAAGCTTGGGAGAGAGAGAGGGGGAAAAAGCAAAGCTCTTTAGAGAGACAGATTAAAAAACAAAGCTTGGGAGAGAGACAGAGGAAAATAGCAAAGCTTGAGAGAGAGAGAGAGAGAGAGAGAGAGACAGAGGAAAATAGCAACGCTTGGGAGAGAGACAGAGGAAAATAGCAACGCTTGGGAGAGAGACAGAGGAAAATAGCAACGCTTGGGAGAGAGACAGAGGAAAATAGCAACGCTTGAGAGAGAGTCAGAGGAAAATAAAGCAAAGTTTGGGGGAGAGAGTGAAAAAGGAAAAGCTTGGAGCCATGAGAGAGAAAAAAGCAATGCTTAGTGATAGAAATAGATAGAAGTATGTGGACGAATCTTTCACAATGTTAGTGAATGAAAAATGCAAACAGCTTGAAGAAAGGGAGGGGAAAACGTAGAAAGCTTTAGGAAGAAGTGAGAACAAAGTAGGTGAGACAACGTTGGATAGAGAAATAGAATGGAAAAAGAGGCAGTGAAAGCGTGCATAGCGGTATTAAAAGGCTGGGGAAGAGTAAGGAGGGAGAGAGTGGAGATTGAGGAAAGGAGGAAATGAAGTGAGTGAAAATAGAGAGAACAACAGAAAAGAAGCATCGTGACGGTAGGAAAATGAATTAATGCGTGGAGATGAAGTGAGCAGACGATCCAAGAAAGAGGGAGGGAGGGAGAGATGAGAAACCGATAATAGAAGAAGGTGGGGGGGGAGAATGAGAGAGGTAAGCGCATGGCAAATATGTTCTTTATTTTTCTATCTACATTGTATCAAGTATTGATGCTGTCAAAATTGCCCAATCTTGTAATTATTACGATGACTGTCAAAATAAATATAGGTAAAAAAAACAAAAAAAAAACTTGAATTAAACTGAATAGAAGTCAGAAAAATTATACAACAAAAAATGCATAATATGAAAAATAAAGAAAAGAATTTTGTGTCACGATCCTTCAGAGGATACGTGATGATGGTCCTCTTCTACTTCCTGTAATCAATTCTCAAATACTATTTCCTTCATGAAATTTCTTTAACCATATCACCCCAAGCAAGCCGGGAGTGCCACGAGTACGCAAGGGGTTACAGAGGATTGAGAACAAGAGTCAAGAGGTGTGCTTGAGGAAAGGATAAAACGAAGGACAGGGATCAAGATCAAGGCATTAGAAGATATCGATTGACACTATATTTGAATATTTGAAGATAATAGGCAAGCAAGTAAGAGGAAGGGAGTTCCACTGTCGGGAAGGGCGAGAGAAGAAGCTGTTAGAGTAGAAGAGACGGCTACATTTAAACGTTTCGACAGTGAAAGAGTGAGACCGAGATGCCAACCTATTAGCCCGCTTAAATTTATGCAGTTTGGGTACAAGTGAAAGTACATTGTCATTGGAGTAGCCATAGAAATATTTGTCGAAAAAACAGAGGGAAGCCACGGCACGTCTGTCAGTACGTGACTGTAGACGAGATGGCAGATCAGGACCTATCATATTGCATATCCGTCTCTGGATTTTGTCGAGGACCTCGAGATGAACAGCAGGGGCAGCAGAACATATGTGGCAACAGTATTCAATGTGAACTTCTAGTACGTATTCCTCCATTTATTTGCTGAAAATCATTAATTATTTTCGTTGTTGATTTCTTATTCTTCAGTAGCGATATCAGAGGTCAGCTAATATCTAGTTAAGGACCTCACTGCAGGGTATTACAGATATCTTTTTGACAATTATCGTATTGACAAAGAAGGTTCACTGAGCTAGATCCTGGATTCCGGGCGAATGACTTTTTTTAAACGAAAGCTGACTGGACAAAAGAGGCTTTTTCTCTATAAGACAATGATCTCTAGCAGCATAAACCAGAGCACCTCTCGCCCGCCACGTGAAATGAAGAGACACGTCGGTTAGACCGTTTATCCAGTCACACCGCTTCACTTTTTCTCACTCGCCTACAGCCGGCACTTACGAGAAGGTGGCAACTAAATACAGTTTGCTAACTGAAAGAATTTCATCTGATAGTTTTCCTTGTATTATGTTTGGTTTGGTTTCTTTTGTTTTAGGGCATATCAACCTCAATGGGTTATTTAATGCCGACAAAATTGTCATTGTTGGTAATATTTTTTTCCAAAAATCTATGTCTGTTAATATTTTTGCCTTCAAAAATCTATTTCTGGTAAGAATTTTCTTTCGCTGGTAATATTTTTTTTTCAAAAAATGTATTGCTGGTAATATATTTTTCAAAATGTATTGCTGGTAATATTTTTTTTATAAAGTATTTCTAGTATTAAACCCTATTTTTACACTGTCATAGTGTTTGGACCCGAGTTTAGGTGTTAACTATTTACCCGTAGCTGGGACCCTAACAGGCGCTACCACCCCGGGTCAGGGTGGACCTGGTAATATCAGCAATTAAGAAGTGGTTACACGCTCCTCAAACCCTCCTGATCAGAGGCCTTGCTGTTGAGCGTAGTTTATCGTCTTACCCAGGACGCGGATGTAGTTTATCGTCATGCCCAGGACAGTTTCTTTGTATTAAGCTACGAGCGTTTGACTAGAAGCAGCTGCGAACGGCGGTGTCTGGTCTGAGGTGCAACGCTACACCTGCTGTTGGTGTGTCCAGTGAATGTTAAATTTCCCAAGTCTTTTCTCCTTGTGTGCCCTCAAATTTGCAACTGTTTCTTTCTAGTTCTTATGCTCTGTACATATCAAAGTTTGTCAATAGTATAATCACATATTCAGATCTTTTCTTCATCGTTAAGAAAATTGTCCCGTATTCACTGGCATATTAGAGATTTGATATCAAATAACAGTTCTGCTCTTTTGTCTTTTGTTTTTTTGTGATCACCCAGTACATTTTATCATTTACTTTATTTACATTATTCGGACTGTTATCCTCATATTCACAAAGTTTCGGCCGTTTTACGCTCCGACCTTCTTTAGGTAATTAGAATTTCGAAGCGAGCGTCTTCGTTTCGTCCACCGGGGTAGATTGTTCCAATTCCACGTGCCATGCCTCTTCCGGATGTTTCAGTTATTTCCCTTTAACTAAACTCTCCAAGTTTTTTGGTTTGCCATTGCTGTAGCATGGTATTGGACTCACAACAAAGCCGTGGATTAGATCCATTGACGAGACCCAAAGAGTTGTGAGTTCAATACCAGGCTACAACAGTGGAGAACCAAAATCTTGGAGGGAAATAATTGAGATATACAGAAGAGGCATGCCAAGTGGAACTAGAAACAATCTACACCGATGAAGGAGATAAAGGATCGGTTCGACATGCCACTCACTTGGAAAAGACCAGAGCGTATAACGTCCATAAGGTGATTATGGCAATGAAGATGAGAGTAACAATACGAATAATGTAAATAATGCAAGTAATCATAAGACCTCATCTCAGAGATATAAACATATATTGAAGGAAAAATTACAATCACCTGAAGAAGGCCGGAGAGTACAACCGCCGTATCGTTGTGATTATGGCAATGAAGATGAGAATAACAGAACGAGTAATGTAAATAATCATACTTCATCTCGAACATATAGACAGATACCCTTTTTTATTAGTAGCCGGAAATCATTGTCTTCTATTCAGATTCGCCGTTATATTTCTGTATGTCTGAATATGGTTGAGGTATTAAAAAAAAAGGTAAATTAGAATTAATGAGAGAGGTATTGAAAAGAGACTGAGTTGAATGAAGAGACAATCATGACTGGTTGATTTATTTTTTTACGGTTTATCGACCCCTTGTTGGTTATGTAAAGCCGCATATTTTTAGGACTGTAAGAATAATTCTTATTTTCTGCTAGTGATTGCATGAACAATTTTTTTTGTAGATAATGATTTATTTTCAGATATATCTTACTATTTTACCCATATCTGGGAGTAGAAGAGGTGAATTTATACTTTCCTCAAAAGGTATGTGCGCGAAAGTGAATCCAACTAATGACCGGAATTTGAATTCTACAATTGATTGATTCCAGAGTTAAGAGTCTTGGATAAAAATCCAGGGACCTCTCACTCGTGTTGTAGGAACCCATCTTGATAGACCATGTCTTCAGAGGATGGAGAGACTTGAGGTTTTTGAATTCAGGGTTGTCTTTCTCTTAGACCGTATAGCACACAGGCGGTCCTGTTATTTACCCACATAGGGGAGACGAGATAGATTCATACCTATCCTACGTAAGTAAATGTGACGGACGCGACTGGGATTCGAACTGAAGTCTTCGATCCGTCAAGCCGAGCCGCTGTCCATTATTTTGCCACTCTGATCGAAGAAAGAATAAAATCCAATGGGAGTATTGCAACGAGACAATTCAAGAAATGTAACAAAACCAAGATATGAAACATAGAACAAGAAAGAGAATTTACGGCAAGATTCAAAGAAAACTTGATTAAATTTTATAAAAAGCAAAGGATAATATTTTAATGGAATATGTTACGTTTCTTCAGTTTTTTCATAGAGTTGCATCAAACTCATTGTTCCAGTGGGATTCAATAACTTCGTGTTTGCCTTCCAGGACGTCGCACGCTTCCTACACAATATTAGTTTTAAAGTGTGCTATTTCAAAACAAATCTTTTTATTACACACTTTTTCACTTTTTGTAGTTGTGCCTTATTTCAAAGGAGGTTAGCGAGTTGCTTTGGGTACATGACACAGATCAGTGCGCATGGTTAGTCAGGTCAATAGGGTGTGACGGGAGTTCAGTGGAGAATTGTAAAATATCAATTTTTTAAAATGGAAAAAAAAAGCAAAAAAAAGAGTGAAAGTAAGAATGAAATAAAGGCGTGAATGAAAAAAGAATAAAAACAAAAAAGGAAGAGGTCAGAAAAATAAAATGCAAGGAAACGAGAATAAGAGATTTTTAAAAAAAATCGATGAGAGAAAAAGGGGGAAGGGGACAGTACAGAAAGAAGAGAAAAAATTAAATAAAAAGGAGAGAGAAAGGAAATAAATTGAGGGTGAGTTAAGGAAAGTGAAAGAGTAAGAGATAACAGAATAAACTAGAGGAACGGAGAAGGAAAAGAAAAGAAAACGGAAAGATAAAAGGCGGAAATAAAAGGACCAAAAAAAAAGGAAAAAAAAAAGAATAGTGACGGAGAGGAAATGATAGAGGGAAGGAAAGAAAAGAAAGGAAAGAAAGAAAAGAAAGGAAAATAAAAATAAGACGAAAAAGAAGAAAGAGAACGAAGATGAAAGACAACGAAAGGTTAAAAGAGAAAAGGTTAAAAAAGAACGAAAGGTTGAAAGAGGAAGAGAAAATAATGTACAAACGAAACGTATAAAAGGAAGGAATAGAGGATAAAATAAATCAAACAGTTCGATGATACAAACAAAAGAGGGTTAGAGAAACAAAAAAGAAAAAAAAGAGAAAAATAAACGAAGCAAATTGAAGGTGACTCAGCGAGAAACCCTCCAACTGGAGTAATGTACAGGAATAAATGTTTTAACTATTTTTAAGCCTTTTGATTTCTATTATAAATATTTCAGGTAAAGCTGTAAAAGAGATTTGCTTATATATTGAGTGAAGCCGTCCCTTGTTACCAGAAAGAATTAGATCAGTTTCCAGAAATTGCTGAGTTATATCCCCCGAGAAGAAAAAAAAGGAATCCGATTTAAAACGGTTTCTTTTTCTAACTCATTATGTGATGTCTCGCGTTAATCCGCCGGTGTGAAGCGGAGAGAGGCGGCGAATGGCGAAGAATTTCATCTAAATGCGTGCTTTGCTCAGAGGATTTAGAATTCT